TTTTTTTGCCTGATAGGTCATGTCTCTTAAGGAGGTTCCATTAAATATGAAGTAAATATTCTATCTCTAAAGATGGAAAATTAGAGGATAATAAAAGAAATAGTCGGCGAAATTAAAACTTATTAGCTTTTTAGTTCTTTGTGCCACTTGTTGGCAGTAAATTTCATAATGATATCAGTTCCTACGACATAAACAATTCATACAACTGATTAGATGCGTCATTTACTATAAAACAAGTGAAAGTGACGGCACAATTGTTTGCGATATATTAAATGGCTTCTTGTAGCATTGATAGCTCATAATTGCCTTAACAAATGTATTCTAGTAACTGGTTAAACCCGGTGAAATTTGGACAGATTAGTGCTGTTGTCAGTGGTGCATTATATTTTAATCATGGCCATCCCCCATATATTCATATGTAGATACGTATAAAAGCTAAGTAAAACAGAAAGTAGGAGGGGTTGTGATCGCTATATTGCCTCAATATTAAAACGGAAACCCTTTGTTTTGTTGTATCAAACATTGCCCGGCAAAACTGAAATGTTTATATTATACTTTATGAATGCTACTTGTTTANCTTCCAGCATCAAAGATAGGAAGATCTCTGAAGAAGCTTGAGTGGCAAGCTTTCAGTATCAAATATAGGAGGGTTTTTGAAGAAGCTTGAGTGGCGAGCATACAGCATCAAAGATGGATGGATCTCTGAAGAAGCTTAAATGGCGAGCTTCCAGTATCAAAGATAGGCGGATCTCTGAAAAAGCTCCCCACTTGTGCAATTCCAACCCACGACAGCCTTTAAACCCGAATTAGGACTGCATCAGTTCACCAATTGACCGCAAAAGCCTTTACCAATGTATCGAATCATTGTCAACCAAGCTTTTACTATACTAATTTTATTTACAATAATTTATATTATGTAGGTACCATAACCGATGTTTGCCAAAAAGAATCGTCTTGATATACGTTCGTACGCACGCTCTCTTAGTATATTTCTTCTTTTAACAACTCTCCTGTTCAATTTTAAGGATACAAAAAAGTTGAAACCGACATACTGAGATTTATAAATGTGGAAAAGAAAAAAAAAATAAGAATCCTCTAACAAGCAAAACCACCAAGGAATTTTATCTGAATCCTAAAATTACAAGAAGACTTCTGTAAAATGACTGAAACAATTAATAAGGATAATAACTCAGAGAAAACAAGACGTGAC